ACGGTAGCCCATGGCAACCCACTGCCATAGGGGCTGTAGCCTATGCCATCGCCGGCGACTCAGGGCAGCCCAGCTCCAGGTTGAGCTGTTGTTCAGCATTGTCACTGGCCCTCATATGTGGGATTTGAACCGGGGCCCTCTGGCATCCCAAGCCAGTTCTTAACCATCGCGCCACTCGGCCGGCCCAAGCCATATTCTTTTGCAAAGGTTGCTGAGATTTCTAGATTTTATATTTTTACTTGACAACGAAGACCTTTTTAACGATACTTTAAACCTCTTTGAAGAAGAAGCAATCATGTTTTTAATAAAACTCAAATTAGGCATGAGTTTTGTGCAGCATGAATTTACAGAAACATTTTTATAGAGAACTATGTGAAGTCTGTTTTTTTCGAACTGTCCATTCTTTAAAAAAAATAAATCTGTTAGTACACAAAACTTTTTCGAAAAAGGAAGCAAAATAAATCAAATTGTTTCCAATGTGTAAAAGCTCCTATCAAGTGCATCAGTAAAATTGTAATTCTCCTCATACTAAAATTCGAAATAGAAAACTGTAACATAATGTTATCATTTTTAGTCATCGCGTTAAGGTTTTCACTAACAGTGAATACTAAATGAAATAGATAAAAAGATGTGGCATATGTTAAGAAGCATCTGAGACAATAGTTTTGAAACTTGTTGCCATTTACTGGAAAGTATTCTGTTCTTTCACTTTTTTGATGTACCCTGTTCACAAGCTATTTCCAAACTAGAGCATGGCCATGGAAAATAACCAGGAACCTTAATTAAAGAGTTTCTCTCCCCATTTCCTTGGCAACAAAAGATGAGTGAAAACTTCTCCTTTTTATTTTTTTTACTTAAGTATATAGTTCCTTTAAATGTTTTCCTATATTGGGTGTCATCTTTTTATTTTATCTTATTTTTTATCATTCTACAGGGGATTAAATACCTGTGCATTCCAGCAGCAGATTCACCATCTCAAAACCTGTAAGTTTTTTTTTCCTGTATTATTTGGAGATACTAAAAATGAATAAAGGGCTTTATAGTTAAATAGGTAAAGGACAGTGACCTCATGGACGTTGATGGGACCCTTGCCACAGCTGCTGCCTTCCAGGAGCGTCTGTGAGGTCCGCAGAGGTTGTGCTGCTGAGTTGAGCAGACTGTAGCTGGAGGCATGCTCCTTATTTGCTGGTTCTACTACTGCATAGCACTAACTGATGGGATATCTATAAGAAGAGTCGAATTTAAAAAAATGATACTTGAAACCAAACCATGAGCATGTTCATCCTTTCTCTAGAAGCAAAAACCCTTAAAGAAGCTATTGGGTTTTGTCTAACACAGCAATTGAAATAGAGCATGAGTCACATATGCAAGCCATAAATTTTCTGGGAGCCATATTTTAAAAAAAGTAAAAAAGAAACAGGTGACAATAAATTTAGTAATATGTTTTGTTACTAAATATATGTGTATCCAACATATGCAAAATACTGTCATTTCAACCACATGCTCAATATTTTTTTTAATGAGACACTTTACATGCCTTTTTGGTACTAAGTCTTCAAAATTAGGTAGGCATTTTTCACTCTTACAGTATATCTCAGTTCGTATCAGCTTTCGAGTACTTATACTTCTAAAGCCTGTCTGAGTTGAGTGAATAGATCTTTCTGGTTTAGGAAAGTCCAGGTCTCTATTTCCCCACAGCTGAATACATCTTTGGTGTCGTTTTAATTCTTGTTTCTCCCTATAAAGAGAAATTCATAATTGCTATCTTTTCCAGGTCACAGCAATCCTATGGAGACCCATAGGATTAGGCTTTGGCAGAATGGGGATCAGGCTTCTGGAGACCCACAGCATTTATGGCTTTAACATTCACACGCTTCAGTTTCCAGAAGTGACCCCAAAAGACTATGACATGGACTAGGTTAAAGTTTTACTGAGGCATGGCTTTGAGCCTGCAGGCTGCGAGGCTGGGAATAGAATTGCAGTGCTTAACCGTTCAGTGCATGCAGCAGATCCCAGGGGCTGCTGCTTAGGCTGGCCTTGGGATGTGTGTTGGAGGCCAGGCACCGGGACCTCCTAGAATCACATGTTACTGCATTTCATCAGGGAAGTTATAAATTGTGGTGCTGTTTGTGAATTTGGGAGTCCATAGGTTTGTCAGGATTCATCCTTCATGATTCTTCAGTTCTATTGCCTATAAATCTTACATAAGTGCAGACCACATGATCTTATGGTTAGTATCCCAAGTATCCAGCCTCTCTGAAAGCTGTCCAATCGGAACCTTAGCGAACCTTGATTTGTCATGGCTGTAAAGAAGAGAAATCAGTAAATTTTTGGGATCCACCAGTTTAAAAAACAAAGCGAGGGTGAGGGGTGGGCTAGAGTTGGATGGATTGACGGGATGGGTGCGCGGGTAGAGTAGGGGTCAGGTGGTATAGAGTTAGACAAGGAAAAGACAGGGGCAAGTTGGAAGTGGGGGCAAATACTTCCTACCTGGGGTTTGTGTCTCCACACTGATTCTCCATCATTTCACAGGAAAAGTCAATCTTGAAGGTTGAGGCTGGTGGAGGAAGGATTTTACTAAGATCACTAGGAAAATAGTAGTAGCTTAGGTCTAGAAGGAGGGGAAGAAGCATTAGAGAACTTCCTTGGTTACTAGTTGTGTCAAGAAACAGAAGTGGTTGGAAGGGCATGGTGTGTACGGAAGGAAGTGAGCACTGCCTTTCTCTGAAGACCACAGCAGTCTTCTGCCCATGTTTTGGTGACTATTTTTAGAATGGTTGCTTTGCTCTTATCTCAAACTGAGATTCCAACATACTGTGGAATTTGTCAATACCTGATTGGCAGTGTAACACATTCTGGGCACTCGTTGTCAGGGCAGGTGACCACTGTACTTGAGCTGCCCCCAGGATGTCTCAGCCTTGCTAGGAACCCAGCACTGTGCTAACCCAGTACTGTGTAACGCTGACTTACCACATGGAGACTGGGCACTGAGTGGTCCTGCGCTAGAGACACGTAAGCAAGAGACCTAGAATTAGAGTTCTCAGATTTAAAACCAGTTCCATCTACCTTGGGAAAGTCATTTTAATCCATCTAAACCTCAATTCTTTCATCTGAACAAGGCCTGAATTCAGGATTTGGGAGATGAGATCGTGTAGTGAAAGTGTTCTTTGTGAACTCTAAGCACTTTGAAAATAAGGGTCTACTTTTATTCTACACAAAATAAAAGTATGTTACTGTATCTTGAGAGTTGTAGAAAAGGTAGTTGAAAGTAAGTTGTGGTGCTCAGGAGGCCTGCTTCATTCACTTGGAAGACGTGCTTATGTGGAAAGACCATGGTGACAGAGGATGCAACAGCTACTCGTCTGTGTTCTAGTCTCATGGGTCAGTTCAAACCTTCTGGCAAAATCAGCCCAAACCTAGTCACCTTGGGGCCTGAGGACTAACCCATAATATTTGACTTAATTCTCTTCTGTCCCAAATATGTACAGTAATGTTGTTAAAATGTGTGGTTTGCCTCTTTAACCCTTTCCTTGTATCTGCATGAAAGTGTAGCATGGGACACCAGTTTCCAATAGGTAGTTATTGCAGCATCCGTGGTCAGGGCTAACCGTGCAGAGAACGCACCATTGCTGCTATTTCGAGTGAAGTCCTGCAATAGCACAACCTCTGTTTCAGTTGGAAAAGGAAGTCAAGACTATAACTCATCGAAAGGCAGAAAAACTGGCACTCTGCTGTTGGGAGTTATGTGCATGGGCATTTGTGTGCTTCTTTAGGGAAACTTAGTTTTAATCCCTTAGTAATAGCAAAACGTATGCATAAGTAAGGCTTTGGGCACATAAATGTCCATGATTCTATAAATGTCTTGCTCTAAACTGAAGTAATATGGAGATAAGTTTGAACTTTGAATGCACTTCTTGTGTTATGTGAAATGGCTTGAGTTGCTCTTCACCTGTTACAAATGCGTCACTGGAAAGCATAACATGCCATCTGGCAGTGAGCGTGCTTTCATGATGTCACCAGACTATTAATGTTGGCAGGCAGAACACTTGACTGCATTTATATGACCGCCTCAATTCTGGTAGCCTGCAAATATTAAGGCCTATGCAGGGAAGTCTAAAATGAACCTTTGCTTCTATATCACCAACTAATATGGTGGTCAGCAGACAAGTCCTCTTAATGCTCTGGTTAACAAAGCGAGAGGCGTCATGTCCGTCACTTGGAAAATGTACCAGTTACAACTAGTAGTCCGTTAGTCTCGCCGCTGTAATTCCTGATGCCTGAGAGTTCTTATGTTTAATGATAAAATAAATTCTAGAAAATTATATTGCTTATTGTTTTAAACTGACAGATTTTAAAAATTATTTCCAACTTTGGATCTAATTTAAGATTTTACATTCTAACTCTTTACCCACAGATTTCTATGCCTACAGGAATTCTTCTTGCTGATTATGCTTAGTAAGAGGTTTGTGACCTTTTGAGACCAACTGCTATTATTTGGCATTCAGTGGCTGCAAACTGCCCAGAAAGGTCAATTTTCTGTCTTGGCCTTCATAGTCACAAAGTCCCCAAGCCCCTATCTGATCTTCCAGGAACTTAATATGCAGAAACCTGGTTTGAGATAACATGAACACATTAAAATTTTAGCTCAGTTCCCCCATCCACCTTGCCTTGCAAAGTTAGGAAATGTGAAAGTTCAAGTTCTCATAGTCGTAATAACCCCAGGCCCAGGCTGCTGTGCTTTGCATGATTTATTACAATTGGAGGCATTCTAAGAGCTTGTAATAAATGCACATATTGAGTGTTCTCCAGGTGGCCGAGACGGATGGGTTGGTGATTGAAGGCTTTAGAAATACTTGCTTTTGTTCTCTCTCTGTGCTTTCTCATACAAGTTATTTTAACCTTCCTTCTCTCACTATAAATACCTGTCGTACACAATTGGTATAGTGTTAGGGGAAATAAGTAAAAGTGTTTTTTATGGACATTAAGCATTCCAAAGATTACATTTTCTGTCTATTCAAGCAAGGAGTATTAATGTCTTTTGAGAGTGAATGGTTAGATGTATAGTAGCTTATTTTATTCATTCTTATTTTAATGTTCATTAAATTGGTATTTTGTATTTAGATATCACTAAGGGAATAATTATCTTTTTTTATCTTCTCCTCTGTCAAGTCCAGGAGAGCTGGGTCTGTGCTGTGGAGTGGATAGCACTGCCCCATTACAGTGGGGCCTTTGTGACATTCAGTGCTCTACGAATCCAGCAGATCTCTGAACTTCTTGAGGTTTTTGTAAGGAGACGAGGCATTAACAAACAATACAGAGAGCTTATATTTAAAATATCAGTAAAACTTCCTTGCCTTATTCCACCTTCCTATCTTTTCATGTATTTTTCTTCTTTTAGCTGATGTATTCTGTACTCTCTTATTTACATTTTTCTTTGTTTTCATTATTTAAAAGAGCAATTTTGCAAGATCAGAGCAAGGTCGCCCAGGGTGGCCCTTCCAGACAGGCATATACATACACACACATGTGAGAACACACATACACACACGTGTGCACACATGGCTCATAAGGACTTTGCAGTGTATAGAAATGAGAAATATGCAGAAAATGTGTATTGCATCTCTCATAAAGACTTCCCTTATTTAACTTAATGATTTTTAGTCTTAGGTTATGTCCTCCTAGTGTTTTTAGAGTTGAACTATTCTTTGTGAAATGATGTTGTAGTATTAATAGATGATAGAGAGATTTTGGGTGTTTTGGTTTTGTAGTTTGTTTTTTAATAAACTTATCTGTCAGAATGAAAAGTGAGATATAAACAACCTGATTGAAAAATGGGCAGAGGGTCTGAATAGATGTCTTTTCAAAGGCACATCATCAGCAGGTACATGAAAAAATGCTTAACATCACTGATCATCAGAGAAATGCAAATCAAAACCACAAGGAGGTATCCCCTCACACCTGTCAGAATAGCTGTTGTCAAAATG